AGATGCATATAAGCATAGATGCTTACAAACATAGATGCTTATAAGCATAGATGCATCAAACACAGGTTTATATTAACATAGATGCATATATGCATATAGGCAAAGATTCATATCAGCATATCAGCATAAGCAAAGAAGCATCTTTATAATATTTAGAATTTTTGTAATCTGTTAGTAAGACAAGCGTACTTTCGCTTGTTTTAAAACTTTATTATAGAGATGGAATCTGTTAGATTAAATAAAGGGGAAAGGGAGACGAAATTGTGAAGAAGAAATTGCAAAGATGGGGGGGGGGGGGGGTAGTGAGAGATATATAGGCCATTTAAATGCACAAATATTTGACCAGCAGGCAAGGTATTCAAGCATGCGCAAAATGCATGATTTTAATCAAATGAAGTGTGTTTATCAATTTATCAATTTTCTTGGAACTACATTTTAAGAATTAGCATTTTCGAAGCAAAAAAAACTAAACTATCGATTTTGGAGAAAAAATGCTAAAGTCTTACAAAATTCAGATTCCAGTGATAAAGCACCGAATGCATTTAAAATAAAGTTTTGTAAAGAGAAATCTTATGATTCAAAATGCATGAATCACTACAGGGAGTAGATGAAGAGAATTAAAATGATTTTACTTATTATATAAATCATTAAATAGAACTAATTTTAGCAGAAGATCAAATCGAACCTTTTGGTTTTTGAACCTAACATTGAAACTTTGCAGTTTTTAGTCTAACTTAATATTAGATTTTAAATTCTAATAGATTCAATTATGAAAATTAAGGATTCAAACATTTAGAGAATATATATTAGACTAACTTTTTAAACTTTTTGCGTGAAAATAAAAATAAATAAAATTATCACGAATCTGCTAAAATGGAAATTAGTTCCTGCCACAGACTCATATTTTCTGATCCCTTTGACATTTCTAACCTGATGGTGTAGACCTTTGATATTTCTAACCTAATGGTGAAGACCTTTGATATTTCTAACAATTGGATTACTTGTGAAAATAGAATTCATAGTTTGAAACATCAAAGGTCGCCGACATTAAGTTGCAAGGATAAAGGAAAATAGAAAATTCTAGTCAGTGATAAAAACTCAATTCCTTTTAAATGTTTGATCTTGCACCCCCTTTTAAAAATCATGATAACTCCCTTAAAATATTGGTTTAACGATGTTCTCCTGGTTTCCAACTCCAGTATTGGTTTTCAACACACAACCTTTCACATAGGACTAGGAGAGATACAAAGGTTACACCCTGGACATAAAGATAGTTTCACCCCGTGTAAAAGATAGTTTCACCCTGTATAAAAGATAGTTTCACCCTGTATAAAAGATAGTTCACCCTGTATAAAAGATAGTTCACCCTGTAAAAAGATAGTTCACCCTGTATAAAAGATGGTTTCACCCTGCATAAAAGATAGTTTCACCCTGTATAAAAGATGTTTTCACCCTGTATAAAAGATAGTTTCACCCTGTATAAAAGATATTTCACCCTGTATAAAAGATGTTTTCACCCTGTATAAAAGATAGTTTCACCCAGCAAAAAAGATAGTTTCACCCTGTATAAAAGATAGTTTCACCCTGTATAAAAGATATTTCACCCTGTATAAAAGATAGTTTCACCCTGTATAAAAGATATAAAAGATATTCCACCCAGGATAAAAGATAGTTTCACCCTGTATAAAAGAAAGTTTCACCGTGTATAAAAGATAGTTTTAACCTTTATGAAAAATAAAAAAGATATTTTACCCTGTATAAAAGATAGTTTCACCCTGTATAAAAGATAGTTTCACCCTATATAAAAGATAGTTTCACCCTGTATAAAATATATTTCACCCTGTATAAAAGATATTTCATTCTGTATAAAAGATAGTTTCACCCTGTATAAAAGATATTTCACCCACCCTGTATGAAAGATGTTTTGACCCTGTATAAAAGATAGTTTCACCCTGTATAAAAGATATTTCACCCTGTATGAAAAATATTTCACCCTGTATAAAAGATAGTTTCACCCTGTATAAAAGATGTTTTCACCCTGTATAAAAGATAGTTTCACCCTGTATAAAAGATATTTCACGCTGTATAAAAGATATTTCACCCTGTTTAAAAGATAGTTTCACCCTGAATAAAAGATAGTTTCACCCAGCACAAAAGATAGTTTCACCCAGTATAAAAGATAGTTTCACCCTGTATAAAAGATAGTTCACCCTGTATAAAAGATAGTTTCACCCTGTATAAAAGATATAAAAGATATTCCACCCAGGATAAAAGATAGTTTCACCCTGTATAAAAGAAAGTTTCACCGTGTATAAAAGATAGTTTTAACCTTTATGAAAAATAAAAAAGATATTTTACCCTGTATAAAAGATAGTTTCACCCTGCATAAAAGATAGTTTCACCCTGTATAAAATATAGTTTCACCCTGTATAAAAGATAGTTTCACCCTGTATAAAAGATAGTTTCACCCTGTATAAAAGATAGTTTCATCCTGTATAAGAGATGCTCCGGATCTGATTGTAAATACGTGTGTGTATGAGTGGGATGAATCCTCCGTATTAGCTCCGGATGAACGGATGATTAATGGGTTTTATACATGAATGAGTTTACTATAAAGGAAGATTTGAATAAATATTGAAGATGGATAAAATGTCGATATCAGACAATTAATTGGGTTGTCTTTTTTTTTTAGCAGGATAGAAAAATAATTAGGATAGCTAGCTTAGACATTTTTCTTTTTTTGAATATGTAAACAGTTCAATGAAAGTTCAATGTAAATTTTTAAAACATTCGAATAATTTCACAGCGGGGTTTTCTGTAGGATATGAGGATACAGGGATACTAGGATACAGGGATAAAAGGATGCATGGATACAAGGATACAGGGATATAAGGATACAAGGATACAAGGATTCAAGGATACAAGGATACAAGGATACTAAGATAAATGGATACAAGGATACAAGGATTCAAGGATACACGGAGTCAAGGATACATGGATTGCAAGGATGCTGGGATACAAGGATATAGGATAAAGCTAGAATACAAGGATACAAGTTATGCAGGTATTTAGAATTCAAGGATACAAGGATACAAGGATAAAGCCTGATTATGCAGGTATATAGAATACAAGGATACAAGAATACAAGGATAGAGCCTGATTATGCAGGTATATAGAATACAAGGATACAATACAAGGATAGAGCCTGATTATGCAGGTATATAGAATACAAGGATACAAGGATAAAGCCTGATTATGCAGGTATATAGATACAAGGATACAAGTTATGCAGGTATATAGAATTCAAGGAAAACTAGCTCAGTGGCTCCCTGAGCCAAGAAACTACTCAATATCAGGAAACCTAGGAGAGCTAAAGTATAAAATAATAATAAAAAGGCAACATTTTCATTCAACTATTTTTAAAGTCCGCCCCCTCCCCTAACACTGTACAGCTAGTATTGTTGTGTATAAGTATAAATTCATTTAGACGGAAAGAATAGGTTTAATGTTCTAGGCAGTTTCTACTATCTTTACATTGTATATAGCTAGGATTTACTATTTTAAATTGAAATAGTTTAAATTCAGAAACCATAAATTTTCTTTTTATACGTTCTTTCCTTTCCTCGCCCCTTTCTTCCCCTCTCTCTCTCCTCTTTTCATTGCCCTTTCCTTCCCCTAGCTCTCCCTCCCTCGTTCTCCCTCCTTCCATTGCCCTTTCCTTCCCCTAGCTCCTCCTTCACTTGTAGCCCTTTCCTTCCCCTAGCTCCCCCTTCACTAGTAGCCCTTTCCTTCCCCATAGCTCCCCCTTCACTAGTAGCCCTTTCCTTCCCCTAGCTCCCCCTTCACTAGAAGCCCTTTCCTTCCCCTAGCTCCCCCTTCACTAGTAGCCCTTTCCTTCCCCTAGCTACCCCTTCACTAGCCCTTTCCCGTGGTTCTACTGAGTTTCCCAGTCAAATTATTAGGCAAATCGGTCAAGGGGTTCATGAGTTATGATCGGACAAACAAACAAAGAGACAAAGATTACTGCTTTGTATATATAGAAGTAACGTTTACTCTTATTGTTCAACCCCTCACTTAACAATTTTTGTTAAACTTTTTAAAACTTTTTTCTTTTTTTTAAATTTAAAAATCTTTGTTTCTCTTTTCCTATAACATAAAACCTTATTTCTTTTCGTATCATGTCTAGTTTCGTAATCTAATGTTTGTATTTTGCATGAAGTTGGTAGGAACCAAGGAACCAGGCTTACAGCCAATGTTTACTTTATATAATAATACATTACATACGTACATTTTGCTTGTAAAATCAGTCTACCAAAAGTGTTTAAAAATTGCGAACGTTTTGTTCGAATTTACGAACTAAATGTTAGAAAGAAATAGAATCTTTGCCAGAAACTCTGATATTCTAATCCCTATATCTTCACAACCCAATGTCGTAGACCTTAGATATTTAAAATTATGAATTATGTTAGATCAAATATTCTAAGTTTGAAATATCAAACGTTTTCATTTTCAGGTTGCAAAGATATATGGATTAGAAAATTTGAGCTTGTGGCAAAGACTTGATTCCTTTGAAATATAACCATAACAATCATAATTTCGAAAAAAAAGTTTGTAATTTCGAAAAATGTTTATAATTTCGAAATAATTTAGTAGTGATATTCGAATAAAAAGGTTTCTTAGGACAGTGTTATACAATATCATACAGCAGATACAGTGAGTTCCGAAAAACTAAGTCTTTGGGAAAGTGTATTGTCCAAGGAAACAAAAATTCAATGCTTTAAAAATCTCATTAACAAAGACTTGCAACACTTTTTGAATAATGAAATAAATAAGACATTAAGGTATTCTTGTTCTGAAACTCACTGTACTTTAAAAAGTACTCTATGACCTGTTCAGTGTTTAGTGTACAAGATATTAACCAATCAAATTAAACCAACGCACCACAAGCTTTGAGTAAGTCAAAATAAGAAAAATATAATTAAAAGGGAAATAAATGTTACCGTTGGGGGCATTATTATCTTGGGTAGATGGGTCACCATGTTTTGGGTGAAGAGGGTTGGGGGAAGGGTCATCTGGTTTATTGGGTACACCTGGCCCCCTGGCAGAGTGAAGTGGGTAAACTGGGGGAGGGTGAACTGCTGGGGTTGCATGTGGGGCAACCCGGTCAGCTTGCTCAGGTGGGCGGGCAAAGGAAGGTGCATGGCAGGCCATGGTACAAGATAGGGTGTTCCACCGTTCATTTTATCACAGGTTTATAATCTCACGTGGTTTAAAATCTGTTCTACACAGTTGTATATTGCTGGGTTGACAGTTTAATATTGAGCATGCCTGGTATCCAAGCTGTAGAGAGGATAGTGTGTTCTAGTATTATCCCGGAGCTAGAACCATACCGTCCCCTGGTCCAACCCTGACTACTCTAGACTAGAGGATATATATACAACCCGACCTCTGTAGGATCTTGGGGCACAGCGCTATACACCACTGCAGTTATACACACACACACACACACACACAAACACCCCCACACAACGTTCAGACATACAATACTCAACATTCCTGACCCCCACCATCCACCCCCCATTCTACCCTCACTTGAGCTCCTTAACTTTCTTAGCAGATAGGCAAAAATTTTCCATTTACCTAAATATTTTTTTATTCAGTTTTTGAAGAAAAAAATAGAATCATGTCTAAAAGTTGGATAAAGGATTTATTCTAGCAAATTAGCATTTAAAGTACAAGACACATATATTAGATCTATCTTTATATATAATATACATTGATATATTATATATATCTTGTTCAAAGAATTGTAACTATTGAGGATTGTCATGACAGACGTGAAACATTATGTTTAGTATAATTCTTTTTTAATAAAAAATATATATTGATATATTATATATATCTTAATATATACATAATTCATATATATATTGATATATTATATTTCAATTTTTAACTTCACATTTTTATTAAAAAAAGAATTATACTAAACATAATGTTTCACGTCTATCATGACGATCCTCAGTGGATACAAGGATACAAGGATAAAGCCTGATTATGCATTACAGGGATACCCGCAAAGAATGAGACTTCAGAGACGACTGTGGGGAATTATTACTGTCTGTTTCCTTGATCCCCTACAACTTTAAACTTGTTAATTCATTGCAAAATTATTTAATAGTTTATTAAAAGACTATATTCAAGACAGACGTTTTAATTTAACTTGTAAACGACATATTTGAAGAGATTTAGGTCGTCTTAACATTTTTATCCTTTACGGGTAACTCTGTAATAATTGTTTGATTGTCTGTTTGTATGTCCGATCATAACTTCTGAACCTCTTGACAAATTTGACTCAAATTTGATTGGGGAACGGGGTTCTATCTTAACTATGGTTAAAAATGATTTGTTTTACTTCCAGGAAAAGCTGGGTTCCCAAGCTAGTTCTTTGTAAAAGTTGCAAATCTTAGCTCTTTTCCTGCTCGTCTATCATATTAATGTCAGTAGGAGGGAGTCATTATTTGGCCTACTGTCCAGTTTTGCCTCATATTGTCTGTATTTGTACAGGTGTACAGTACAGCTTGCTAAAATAAGGCCCGGTACATGAATTGAACTGGAATGTACAGTGCTATAATTATAACCAAAAGAGCGTTATTTTTATAAAAAAAAATTTCAAATTCTACAGTATATAAATACGTGTATTTTAATCTAATCTCTCATCCTCTTTCATTAAAGGAATTGATCATATATTTCAGATAACTCATAAAACCATAAATATTTAGGATTTAAAACACAACTAAGTCCACCTTAAAGCTCAAAGACCCCCCAGAAGGTCGGAATATTAAAATATTCAATCCATTCTCGGAGATATTTTTCTATTCTCAATATTTTTCTATTGGACGGTCTTATCTATATATAAATTTAGCGTGTCTGGGTGGGTGTTTATTTTATCCAATAAACGTCAAAACGGCTGAACCGATCAGACCCAATTTTGCGTGGGACCTCACGTGGCCCCAGGGAAAATTTATGAATGATCAAAATTTCAAATATTTACCTCCATCAAAATTTAATTTTCTTAAATTTTTGAAAATTTTGAAAATCCACGAAATTTTTTTGTTAAAATCCGCGAACTTTTTTTTGTTTTGTTTTACGATGTACACAAAGAGAACATGTTCACATTTAAAATAAAAGATGGGCAAGAAGCGCACTAAAAGGCTAGTACTTCAAAATTAACATGGGATGTATTTTATTTTCATAAATCCGCGAAATTCAAAACACAACCAGTTTTTGATGGATCGTTGGACAGAAAATACACATCTGAGCGGAACAAAAGGTTTAATATAATGGGACTTTATCGTTTTTTTAAGTTTGAAAAAGTGAGACACCCCAACTTTGAAATCGAATTCATATTTGATCAGACAAAGCTTTTAAGGGTACTGTTGTGAATCGGGCATTGACATATTTGTATGGAGGGTCACTCGAAATTACGCTTACAGTCACTTTAATTATGATCAATATAATAAAACATTTTAAGAAAAAAGTTGTTTATCAAATATAAATTTAGTATCATTGCTTTAATGAATGAAAATTGAAACAGGTAAAGTACTAAATTAATTCAAAATGTTATTTTTGCAACAGCATTAGGACTGTAAGTAAGACCTCTATGATATAATATCGTTATTTGACTTAAAATGAACCTCTGCCCTCACAATCTAATTTTCTTATTCCATATCTTTGCAACATAAAAGTGTAAAACAATTGATATATCTTAATTAGAATATTTAGTCTAATGAATTTTATAATTTTAAATATCAAACATCCACGACGTCAGGATGTAAAAATTTATGATGAGTGTATTTTTAAACTAAAATAGACATGTACTGTCCTAAAAACATATTAGTATTGAATAAAGATAGAAATTGGGTTTTAGCTCTAAAATGTGAATGTCTATGGCGACAAACAAGTAAAAGTGGGTTGGATTAAATCCAGAGCAAGTCCCAGGCGTCACTTTAAATATTGCCAGGTCTAATAGCTGGACTAAACTAGAAATTTATGAGACTTTACTGGTACGACTTTGTGACCTTATTTATAAAAATTCCAAACAATAATAATGACTCTCCAATTAAAGACGTTATAATTGAAAACATATAATATTTCAATCTTCCATAAAATTCACTTTAGTTTAGCGTATCACAATTTTCTCAGCTACGTGGATTTTAGTGGTCTTCAGTTTCTTTGAATACAAATCAGTGTGTTCTGCCCATAAAGTGCAATGTTCCCTGAAAAGGAATTAATATTTGCATATACATAAATGAACTCAGCGTCAATCTTTTACTATACAGTGAGACTCATAAAACTGTGGAATAGGAAGACGACAATTAAGTAATCTTATGTGTATTTGGTGTGGTTATAAAGTAAATGATTTTACCAGTAGTAGTTTGAAAATCAAGTGTAATGTGTCTGTGTACACTGCACAATAGTTGTAATTCATGTTCATTGGACTGTTTAATATCATTATTCAAGACTAACATTGGTCTTCCTATATCAACATTTTTATGGGTTCTATTGTACCATCATAAAGAATAACATGTTTATTTTAGAGCAGCTCAAAAAAAAGCCCAATAATTGAGTTTATCAATACTATCAACAATTCTAGTGTTTGCATATTTTTACATTTTTTACATTTTAAAATTTTGCGGATTTTCTGCTAGGGCATTAGGAGAATTTTTATGCGATAATGAAAAATTCTATGGCACTGAATTTCAAGGTACACAATAGGGTGTTTGGTATCTCTTTGCATTCGATATTTTCCCCCAATCTTCCCCTCTCTACTTATATATTTCTTTAGTGCACTTGAATGTGGAGATACGCTCCAATAAAAATGATTTCTTTCTTTATAAAAACTCTGAAGATTTCAATATTCTAATATTACTAGAAAATATTTTTACATTGGTGTCATTTTCTGTTTCTGGTTCATTTTCTTTAAATGTTGGTTTTATTTGTTCTAGTTAAACTTTATAGATTTCAGTACAGAACTATAGTACACATATAGTATATCTATTATATAAAGTTGTAATTTCTGTTTGTGTGTCTGTTTGTTTGTCCGATCATAACTCGGGAACCCCTTTACCGATTTTCCTCAATTTTGATTTGGGAACTCGGGAGAACCGCGGTAATGTTCTTAACTTGGTTTTTAGATTCTAAGTTGAGTGGGTTGACTTTAATATCGTAAATTTAGTTTCATATATATATTTTTCAATATATGTTAGCTATTATACGGCTGGACTTAATTGACTGAAATTTTTTGAGGGTGTGGAGAGTTAACATAGGTTAAAAAAATTTGATATATTTTAGATCTAATTTTTTTTAATACCACGGACAACGCCAGGCACTTCAGCTAGTAGTATATATAGTATAGAACAGTTCTGGCGCTCACTATCTTTATAGGTCTCTAGCTTTCATCTTTATTATTTCCTAGCTTTCTTTCTTTATTGTTCTTTAGCTTGTTAACTTTATAGTTTTCTAGCTTTCTATCTTTATAGTTCTTTAGATTTCTATCTTTATAGTTCTTTAGCTTTCTATCTATTTAGTTCTTTACCTTTCTAACTTTATAGATCTTTAGATTGTTATCCTAATAGTTTTCTAACTTATAACTTTATAGTTCTCTAGCTTTCATCTGTACTGTTCCCTAGCTTTCACCTTTATAGTTCTCTAAATTTCTAACTTTATAGTTCTCTAGCTTTCATCTTTATTGATCCCTAGCTTTCATCTTCATAGTTCTTTAGCTTTCTATCTTTATAATTCTCTAGCTTTCTATCTTTATAGTTCTCTAGCTTTTATCTTCATTGTTCCCTAGCTTTCTATCTTTAAAGTTCTTTAGCAATTTTCTAGCTTTCTATCACTATAACTCCTTAGCTTTCTATCTTTATAGTTCTCTAGCTTTCATTCTTATTGTTCCCTAGCTTTTTATCTTTATAGTTATAAAGCTTTTTATTTTATAGTTCTCTAGCTTTCATCTCTATTGTTCCTTAGCTTTTCTATCTTTATAGTTCTCTTGCTTTCTATCTTTATAGTTCTTTAGCTTCCTATCTTTATAGTTCTTTTGCTTTCTATCTTTATAGTTCTTTAGCTTTCTATATTTATAGTTCTCTAGCTTTCTATCTATGTAGTTCTTTAGATTCCTCTCTTAATAGCTCTCTAGCTTTCTATCATTTATAGTTCTATAGCATTCTATCTTTATAGTTCTTTAGCTTTCTATCTTTATAGTTCTTTTGCTTTCTATCTTTATAGTTCTTTAACTTTCTTTCTTTATAGTTCTTTAGCTTTCCATCTTTATAGTTCTTTAGCTTTCTACTTTTTTAGTTCCTAAGCTTTCTTTCTTTATAGTTCTTTAGCTTTATATATTTAGTTCTCTAGCCATCTA